TCTGGGCGACAGAGTGAGACTCCAACTCAAAAAAACAAAACAAAAAAAAAACAAAAAAAACCTGCCAACCCCTCAAGGCTGCCTCTTCCTCTGCTGTCCTCACCTCAGGCCTACACCACTCTGGAGATCTTGTCGCCCTCTGGGCTTCCAAGAGCAGCAGACAGAGCCACTTCAGGCACCTCTTTGCAACGGCAGGAGTGCATTACAGCAGAGTAGAGGCTGGGGCTATGGCCTCCGCCTAGTGAGGAAGCAAGGCAAGTAAGTTCAATCCCATCTGATTCTGCACCCCACTGTCCTGCTCTCCCACCCCCACGAAGGGGTGCTTCCCTACTCTACCAGGGGACAGTTCATAAGAGGGAAGGGGAACACCTAAGGCCAGTCTTACCAAGCACTGCCCAACAGAACTTTTTGTGATGGTGAAAATGGTCTCTATCTACACTGTCCAGTGTAAGTAGATACCAGTTCAGAGCATAACCCTGAAAGACACAATCCCAAATGCCATAACTCCAAAGGTTGAAATTCTTTTTGTGTGTGTGTGTGTGTCAGAGTCTCACTCTGATTGCCCAGGCTGAAGTCCGGTGGCGTGCGCTCGGCCACCACAGCCTCGATCTGCTGGGCTCAAGCGATCCTTCCACCTCAGCCTTTCAAGTAGCTGGAATCACAGGCTTGCACCACCATGTCCGGCTAATTTTTTTATTTATTGTAAATACAAGGTCTAGCCAAGTTGCCCAGGCTGGTCTCGAACCCCTGGACTCAGGCAATCCTCTTGCCTCCACCTTACAGAGTGCTGGGATTACAGGCATGAGCCACCGCGCCCGGCTGGGTTGAAATTCTTAAAGATCAAAATCCCTAGAGTCTAAAATCCCCACCTAACGTCTAGTTGAATTCCCAAACCATAATGACAGATTTGAAATTAGGTGTCATCACGGCTTCTTAATTTTGGCCTTTCGGGATTGCGATTTTCAGTTTAGACTTTAGGGATTTTAATCTTTTGGGATTTCAACATTCAGGATTATGGCGTTTGGGATTGTGTTTTTTGGGATTATGGTCCAAACCCAGTAGCCACTAGCCACATGTGACTAACAAACACTTGAAATGTGTATGGTGTGCTAATGAACTGAGTTTAAAGCTTTATTTACACTGGGCGCAGTGGCCCAAGCCTGTAATCCCAGCACTTTGGGAGGCCAAGGTGAGAGGACTGCCTGAGCCCACGGGTTCGAGACCAGCCTGGGCAGCTTGGCGAGACCTCATCTCTACAGTATATCAAAAAAAATTGCAGGACGTGGCAGGGCACGCCTGTAGTTCTGGCTACTTGGAAGGCTGAGGTGGAAGGATCGCCTGAGCCCAGCAGGTCACTGCTGGGGTGGCCATGAGCATGCCAAAGCACTCCAGCCTGGGCGACGGAGTGAGACTTAAACTCAAAAAAAAAAAAAAATCATTTACTTTTAATTAAATAGCCACATGTGGCTGGTGACTACTATGACAGACAGTGCAGCTTTGCCTAATCCCAACCCAGCCACCCCTTCCAACTCAGAACTGGAAGGAAAGATCCTGCACATGCAAGCAGGCCAAGAGGCCAGGTGACAGCAGGCCTGAGGGACACTGGGAGAGGGCGGAGGGGGGCCACCTCTGGGGTCAGGGACTGCTCAGAAGGCCCATGGGCGCTCTGCAAGAGGGGCTAGCCTGAGCAGCTGCCCCCCACCCCAGTGGCCATCACAGTGGCCGCCAGCCCAGCGTCACAATGCCGCCAGCGTCACAATACCACAGGCGGGAGGCTGAGCAGCAGCTTTGCGGCCGCAGGGCGGTCTCCTCCAGGGTGGGTCTCTTTGTCTGCAAGACCTATTTACAGCAAGCAAGGCGTCAGAGGGCCCCGTTTCTGGGGAATGGAAAAGCGCCCAGCTGTGGAGAGGCCTCAAGCTGGAGGGCTACGGGAGGAAGCGGGGCAGGCGTGAGGCCGAGAGAGCCTGCTCAGCCCCACGGCCCAGGTGCCACAGGGCCCGGCAGCCCGGCAGCAGCGGGACTGAATACTCCGTGAGCACAGAAGAGCTGCTTTTCTTCTTCCTGGCCATCTGGTTCCTCTACTTCTACCTTCAGAACTCATTCTGGCTGGACTTCCCTTCTGCCTGCCCAGGGGCTGGAGGGGGCGACTAGAGGGCCACAGCAGGCGTGGCCCCACCTCTGCGAATGAGGACCAGGAGTGGCCAAGAGCCAAAGCCATAGGGCACATGGCCAGTCTCGCCCTTGCATCTCAGAAGTGGAGATCTGGAGCCTGGAGCCGCTTGGGCCCCCTCACCTCCCAATGCCAGGGGGGAGCCATGACCCTAGTCTCCTTTCAGACGGCCCTGGTGGTGCATGCCCCCAAAAGCCTGCGTACTCCCATGGGGTAAATGACAGAGGAAGGGGAAGAGACTTGTGCTCCACAGACCCTGTGGTCAGGCAAAGGGCCAGAAGGTCTCTGAAGGGCAATGGGGACACAGCAAGCCTTTGGGGTCCTAAGTCTTCTCAGTTAGTGGAGCTCAGCTCTGTGTGCTTACTGAGGAGTTGCTTTGTGCCTGACCCCAGGTTATGGTGAGAAATAAACTGCTCTTGGAGCTAGGTGACAGCAAGAATACAGTATTCCAATTTTCTAGGGGACAGAAACAGAGCTCAGTGGTACTCAGCACACTTCTGGCAAAGGTGGTGAAAAGACCACTTCTTTTTGGGGGGCAGTCTTTAAAATAAGACAAAAATGGGGTTGGCACCAGCTGGACCCAGGACAGGACCTGCTGCCCCTCGCCTCCCAAGCCTGGCTTTCCACCAGGGCAATGAGGGGAGCAGAAGTCTCTAGAAACGCAGACCACCAGGGCCCTGTTGGAGGTCTGGGCAGCACTCCAGCACAGCTGCTGGAGGACAGGCAGCCTGGTCCTCGTCTGGGCGTGCCACGCTGACAAGGACCGCACACTGGCAGTTCCCAGAGGCTCCTGGAGTTAGGGGACAAGATGTCCCCCAGAGAGAAGGGCTCCCAGCAGTCAGAGAGCACCAAGGCCCTGGGAACTCTCAGAAAAGCAGCCTAACTCCAGACCCAGATCTCGAAATTCTTGGGTCTGGAATGGAATCTTGGGTGGCCTGAAGGGACCAAAAGTATGTAGCCTGCAGCCTGTCCACAGGGCCTGTGGCTGAGCTCAAAGATAAAACAGCATAGGCTAGGTGAGGTGGCTCACGCTTGTAATCCCAGCACTTTCGAAGGTGGAAATGAGAGGATTGCTTGAGCTCAGAGTTTTGAGATCAGCCTGGGCAACTTAGACCCCATCATCTCTACAATAAATCAAAAAATTAGCCAGGCATGGTGGCAGACACCTGTGGTTCCAGCTACTTGGAAGGCTGAGGCGGAAGGATCGCCTGAGTCCAGCAGGGGCTGCGGTGGCTGTGAGCATGCCACTGCACTCCAGCCTAGGCGATGGAGTGAGACTCCAACTCAAAACAAAAAAACAGCAACAACAACAACAACAAAAACATAGTGTAAAGCGTCCCCAGGCTGCTCCTTCCCAAAAGTACTCAGAAGGGAACAGGGAGTAGCATGAGGTCTCTTCCCACTGACATCTTCCAGTGACTGGAGTCTATGCAATTCAGTGCAGAGTTGTAGGGACACATATTTTCTCTTTGGGACTCCAAAAAGCTAAATTTTGGGTTGAAAAACAATGTGGCCTATAAACAAGTATTTTTCCTAAAACAGGCCACATGCAGACAAGGTGTGGTCCCCTCAGAGAGCAGCCTCAGGAGCCAGCTGAGCGCGTGCACCTGACCTGAGGGAGGCACTTGGCCCTTACTACCTGTGCACAGCCCCCTGCAAACCTGGGGTTCTGGGCCTCACACAGAAACAGAAGTGAAAATTCCAGTTTTGTTCTTTCAGGCTGCTGACACAAATTACCGCCTGACAGGATGCAGTGACTGCTCACGGCTGCCCTGTGACAATTCCACTTGTGTGGGCAGAGGTGGGGGACGGGAGTATGATGACACAGACAAGCACACCACCAGGAGGAAGCCCACAGCAGACATCAACCACCACTTTATTAAGGCTCAGAGTGTTCTGCCAGTGAGGGGCCCGAGTCATGCACTCCACATACACCCCTCACCCCACAGTCCACTTTGGAGGACCCCGAAGGCCGAGGCTGTCTCTGAGATCCGAGCCCCAGCTGACTGTGATCCACCCACAGCTGGACGGGGGTATGCAGACCACATAGGGGCCCTCAGCAGGGGTGCTCGTGCCCAGGGCGGGGCTGGCTCCAGCAAGAGCTGAGCCCCAGCAGGGGAAGTGACAGCAAGGCATAGGAGGACAGGGACATCTCCCTGCCATCCCAGCCAACCTATGGCTTTGTTATCCTATTGCCACATGAGCATGAGTGGAGCGCCCCTCCCCCACCCTCACTCTTGGCATGTGCTGTACTGTGAGGCGATAAAGAAAAGCCCCCTGGCAAAGAAGGGCAGCACTGGGCCTGGGGCCTGGCCAGACCTCAGGGGTGCCCCACTCCTGCTCTTCCTCAGCTCTTTCCGGCGATGGGTCTTCCCCGTGGAGGACAGTCACTCAGAAGTGGACCCGCAGCACGTCCTGGCTGACGACTGGCTGCTGGCAGGCTGTGCATGTCATGGGCAGGGAACGCTGCTTCTCACCCAGGCAGGGTCGGCACAGGAGGTGGCCACAGGGCAGCTGGTACACAGGCTCCTTTTTGAAGTAGGAAGAAAACACTCTTTTGCAGGAGGCACACTTGGGGCCTGGGGCACTCCCAGGCTGCTCTGGTAAATCAGGGAGGAAAACAGGCCAGGGTTAGGGAAAGCTGCGTGTGGTCACGCTTGGTCTAAGAGCCGAGCTTCCTCCCTGCTCTGCCCACTACTGGCTGATCTGGGAGGGGAGGGTGGCAGGGAGCCTGGAGACTTCCCCTCTGTCACCATGGACCAAATCTCTGTGCCCCGTGAATGCCAGAGGACAGCTGGCTTCTGAGGGCAGCAGGCATGACTGGCCCCACCTCCTGGTCTCCCAACAAGGTACCCTTTCCCCTGAGACAGGCTGCCAAGGTCCTTGCAAGGCACAGTTCATTCTGACAACATCAACTGCAAGAAAGGTGAGATGCGGCAAGAAAAGGGAAAAAGCAGCAAATGGTCCCTGTACCAAGCTGGGGCAGGTTGAGGGAGGGAGGTCACCAGAGGGGCAGGGCTGAGTTGCCCTGTGGCACACCTGCCTCCTGGGCCCGGCCCCGCCTCCTGGACGCGGCCCTTCCTCCTGGACTTGGCCCCACCTCCTGGGCCGGTTCACCTTCTGGGCCTGGCCTGCCTCCTAAGCCAGACCCTGCTTCCCTTCAGCCCTGAGGCGTACAGTGGTTCTCACTGCTACTAGCAGTCGTGCTTCCAGCCCCATAATCCATTCCTGTGCTGCCTGGCTCTCTGGGCAAGTTTGCCCTCCTTCCATGATTTCCACAGGGCCTCCCAGAGGAGGGCCACCATCCCCCTTGCTGCACTCAGGGCTCCTCCTTCCATTATGGGCTTGGCCTGAGGAAGCTGCTCTTTGTCCTCCAGTCCATATCCCTCTGGAGAGTGGCAGGGGCTGGGCTCGCCTGTCTTCCATGTCAGCCACATCTCCATTCTTAGCTACCATCCTCAGGGGGACCTCAAAGACACCTCAAACCAAAGTGTTTCAGAAATGCTTCCTAAACCCACTCTTCTCTGCCCAACTCATCACCATAACCCAGGCCACTCAGCACATGGCCTCACTTTCCCCCAGGCTTGTCTTCTCAACCTGTCCTCAAAGCTGCCTCCCTGACGCGCCTGTGTAACCTGACCACCCATGCCTCTGCTTGCCACCTCTTAGGGGCTCTCCACCTCTGGGACCATCAAGATTCATGGCTCAGCCCACCTGGCCTCGCCTTTCTTCACATACAGTCTCACCCTTTAGGTTCAGGGACTTCTAATCGCTTCTTTTCTGCACAGATCTGCATTGTTGACATTGTGATTTTGTGCTTGTTGCTGCCTCTGCTTACCATACCCTTATCTGGAGACTTGGCTCAGATGACACCCCCTCCAGGAAGTCATGCCAAGTGCCCCTTTCCTGTGCTTTCAGAGCCCATCAGCCCTTCTCATACCACCAGGACACAGCCTGCTTCCTCCCCCAGGCTTTGGAAGCCCCTGGGGTAAGAACCGTGTCTGTGTTTCTCCTCTGTTTATCCTTAGGGTCCAGCATAGCACCTCCCATGGCACCCGCTCAATCTACAGGTGACAGTGGACCTCACATCTACACCAAGGGATCAGGTACCAAAGAAAGGCACCTCAACCTCAGTTCCTGAGCCAGCCGGAGGGCACGGGCTCCCTGTGTTGAGCGCCCCAAGTATTCACAGAGAGAAAATGAATTGGAATGTGGTCTAGAGTGCTCCCCTGCCTCAACATCCTGAGGGCTACAGCCAAGAAAGAGGGTGGCCTGGCCTCCGGGGTTTTCTTTGAGCCAAACATTAAGCATCCTACAAGTACCAGGTGTCTCTTACAGACACACAAGCCAAAAATGACTCTGTGAGTTGAAAGGGTCCTGTCCTCACAAGTGAACTCTACTTGGAAGGGAAGGAGGTGAGGAAGGAAGAGAAGGAAGGAGGGAAAAAGGAGGAAGGAAAGAGCTACCGAATGCTATTTGCTGAGTGCCCCTCTGCGGGCTCTGTGCCAGAGGCTTCAGAGATCTGCCTGACCCATGAGTGCTCCATGGCAATTTATTTTCCATTAGTCTTAAAAATCACACTTGGTACCACATCGTGGAAGTATACCAGGGCCCCAATTCTCTCCAGCACTGGCCAGAAGTTTCACGAAGGACCCCAGAGTCTTAGAGCCTGAGGAGCAGATTCAGTGACAGAAAACAAAAATCACCAAAGAGAAGACTACTGTGCCCTGGGCAGACTGCAAACCCAAATATATAATTGCAATTTGGGTGATTAACAGAATACAAAAGAGAACCTTGCTTTGGACAGGGTCGGCAAGCATGGCCTCTTGGGGGAAGAGCCTTAAGAATGAAAAGGGGAGCCGGGCTTGGTAGCTTAGCCTGTAATCCCGCGCCTTGGGAGGCTGAGGTGAGTGGATTGCCTGAGCCCGCGGGTTCGAGACCCGCCTGGGCAATTTGACAAGACCTCATCTCTACAATAAATCAAAAACAAAAAAAAATTTGCCGGGCGTGGTAGCGTGCGCCTGCAGTTCCAGCTACTTGGAAGGCTGAGGCGGGAAGGATTGCCGGAGCCCAGCAGGTCGAGGCTGCGGTGGCCAGGAGCGGCCACTGCACTCCAGTCTGGGTGACAGAGTGAGACTCCAACTCAAAAAAAAATGCCGGGCTCGGTGGCTCAGCCTGCGATCCCAGCACTTTGGGAGGCCAAGGTGAATGGATTGCCTGAGCCTGCGGGTTAGAGACCCGCCTGGGCAACTTGGCGAGACCTCATCTCTACAATAAAAATCAAAAAATTAGCCGGGCGTGGTAGCGCGCGCCTGTAGTTCCAGCTACTCGGAAGGCTGAGGTGGAAGGATCGATCGCCGGAGCCCAGCAGGTCGAGTCTGGGCGACAGAGTGAGACTCAAACTCAAAAAAAAAAAAAAAAAAAGAATGAAAAGGGGGCTGGGAGCAGTGGCTCAAGTCTGTAATCCCAGCACTTTGGGAGGCCAAGGTGAGAGGATTGTCTGAACCCACAGGTTCGAGACTAGTCTGGGCAACTTGGCAAGACCTCATCTCTACAATAAATCAAAAAATAGCCGGGCGTGGTAGCACATGCCTGCAGTTCTGGTTACTTGGAAGGCTGAGGGGAAGGATCACCTGAGCCCACCAGGTCAATGCTGGAGTGCACTCCACCCTGGGCAACAGAGTGAGACTCTAACTCAAAAAAAAAAAAAAAAAAAAAAAAGAATAAAAGGGACCAGCCATGCAGAGTAAAAGGGACAGCAAGTACCAAGAATGGACTAGTCCAATAAAGAAAGAGAAAAGGCACAGTGAGAATGGCTTCAGATGAGAGTGTACAGGAGGATGTGGGGGGAGGGGGGCTACAGCATGCAGGACCTCAGAGGCAAAAGGAGTTTCGTTTCTACTCTGGGTTTAGTGGGATACCATGGAAGGACTTGTAAAAGTGGAATAGCATGATCGGCTGACATAAAAGATCTCCTTGACTCCTGTGAGGACAGTGGTGGTGGGAGGACCAGCTAAGGTTCCTGGAGGAGTCTGGGGGAGAGGCAGCAGCCAAGGGAAGGTGAGCGAGAGGACTAACCTGAGGTCTATTGGAGGAGTATGGACAGGACTCAATAATGAACAGAACGTCAGGGTGAGGTGAGGGAAACCAAGGGTGACTTCCCTGTTAGAGGCTTGATCAGAGGGGAGGAGAGGCTATCCTCTACCCAGATGGGATGATGGGGGCAGTGAGGAGGGGAAGCTCAGGAGGGCAGATGCGAGTAGTACAGTCAGGATGTCAACTCAAGACACCCATGAGAAGACGCTGAACAGTAGTCAGCGGGTCGGGCGTCTGAGCTCCACGGAGAGGCAGGAGCTACAGCTGAACATGAGCAGTCACCAGACCACTGAGTTCTCACGTGGGTGACAGAGAGTACACAGATCAATGTCTAGGGTCAGAGTCTGGTCAGAAGGAAGTTGGCAAGAGAAAGTGAAAGGGGACCACTAAAGACAGGAGAAAAGGAGCATGACATGCCGAAGACCAAGGCAGGCGGTGTTTCAGGAAGGAAGGGCTAATTAGCTACATCAAGTGCTGCTGGGAGGGTAAGTGACCATCAGTATGGAAGAAACTGCTGGTCATTTTGACAAGGCAGATTCTTGGGAATGGTCAGGATAAACACAGTGGGCAGGAGAGACAGGAAGTGGGGAATGAGAGGCAGAAGAGGAAGACGGCTTGGGATCCAGACAACAGAAGGGACTGGCTCTGCGCAGGCCGGAGGAATCAAGTGTATGCCTTACCACAAGCCTGCCAGGTTCCATCTTGCAAGAAACGCCTCAGCATTCCATTCAGCATCTCTCACTTTGTGTCCTGATAAGAGTCCATCATGCAACATGCACCAAGGCTCATTTTAGGCAAAAACTGGCCCAGTAAGCTACCACTGCTCTTTTCTAAGACACTGGTGAAAATTTGAATAGGAAGGAATCAGGATGAGATACTCAACTCCAAACCTCCCTTCACATTTACATAAAATGCCCCAGATGTCAGATGGGGGACAAAGTATATTACAAAAACAAACAACAGTCTTCAGAAGAGAATAATAACATCAGATCCTACAAAATAACACAGCAGAGGACAGCCAAAACCTAAGTCCACAGAATTACTAAGGGATGACTAAAGTAAGCCTTTCTTGTGAGTTCAAGTTCACAGGCAGCCCCTCAATTTCCCCTGGAAAAGGCAAGAGAACAGGTTCTCTCTCCAGGCTGTGTGTTGGAACTAAGGGGGAACCTGGCCATGCAGGTCCACAGAGCCCTCAGAGACACGGTCCAGCCTCCTGCACAGAGAACAGACCACCCATCTGAAGGCTCCAAGGAGATGAACAGGGCCCATGTTACCCGAGCCAGTGCCAGGCCTCCAGGAAGTGCTGCTCCCTCTTGTGCCAAGGTGCTGGAGCTGTCCCCTGGTCAGCCGAGCCGTGAAGGAGGGCAGGGAGCCAAGGGTGGACGTCAAGGCAACTTCCAAGCTTTGTGACAGCTTCTGCTCATGGGACACTGGACCTGCCGAGAGATGTGCAACCACAACATCCAGACAGGTTCCACAAAAGGGAAGAACAAGCCACAGCCCTTTGAGGACTACAAAAATGGCACTTCCAACTTCAGATGCACATAAATGTAATGAAACGCCTTCCTGGCATCTATTAGTGGGCTATGATGACAGACACTGGGATTAATGCTCTGGGAACCCATCTCACAGGCTTCAGGCTGCCTGAGCTCTGCTCTTGCTGCTTTTTTGGATGGGCAGGCGTGGGCCACCTTGTGGCTCAACTGCAGAACTGCACCCTCCTTTCTAAAGGCCTCCCTGAGCTGGCCAAGGAAATGACTGGGGCCGGCACACACAGCTTTGGACTCCTACCTCGCCTGTTATTCCCTTCCCAGCAGCCTTAGTCTTCCCTTTCCCCAATTCCTCCCTTCTAGGGTCCCCACCACACTGCGGGGCCTGAACTCTCTAGGCATTTGTGTTCTCTCTCTTGTGCTAAGTAAAGCAAAGCAGTTATTACCAAGCGGAGTAACTAAGACCTCTCACTCACCACAGTCTAGGGGACCTTTGGTAGAGGTTCAACTCCTGGCATGCTAAGTCCTGGAATGAGAATGAAGGCCAAGGAGGTAGAGGACAGCTGCCCAAGAAAGGCCCCAGGGACCTGCCTGGTAGCAGAATGTGCAAGACTGTCTCAAAGAAGGGAGTGGAACGTTTTGTCTACAGTTTGCAGGACACAGGACATGAGCTTAGGGCCTTGAAGGAGCACTAGTCAGCATGGTCCTGTGTCGCCAAGTCTGTCAAGGCCAACGTCACTAAGGACTCCACAAGTAGACAGTGGAATAAGGACCCTTTTCCTTGTCCCACCCCACTGCAGCTCAGAAGCTTCCAGGAGTTTCTGGAGGTCACGTTAACTAGAATTTACTTTTAAAACCAAAGACACGGAAGTAGGCATACTACTTGCACAACCATTTGAAAGACAGAAAATTAAAAGAATGATCAAATCTAAAGAGAATAATTTTCATAAGGAAAAAAAAAATTTGCCAAAAAGCTACCCTCTACAAGTACCAGGCACTGGGGAATTCTAACAAATAAGTAAAATAGATTATTCTACTACTATTAAATTGTTCCAGAGTATAGAAAGGGAAAATTTCTAAATTCTTTTTATGGAGCAAAAAATAATAATTGATACCAAAACCTGACCAAAGATGGCACACAAATACATCCACACAACTATAATCCAGCCTTACTAATGAATGCAAAACATTCTAAATAAAACACGAGCAAACAGAACCAAGCAGCACATTAAAAGAGTTATGACTAAATGGAGTTTACTCCAGGAATGCAAGAAAGGCTCAATATTAGAAAACCTATTAATGTACTTTATCACTTTAAAAGATCTAAGGACGAAAAACCATAATATCATCTCCATTGATTCTGAAAAGATATTAAACAAAATTCGACCACCAATCCTGGATAAAAATACTCAATACCAAAACAGGAATCAATGGTATAGGATGCGTGAACCTCATCTCCCGATAGTCATGCCCTTAGGAATCCCCTCCCCTTGTGGGCTGAACTTAGGGACTTGCTTCTAACAAACAGAATAGAGCAGGTCCACTTCTCCACCAGCCAGGAAGGACACTGGTGTTGAGGCTGACATACCTGATAGGACAGTAACTACCATGACTTCCAGTGCTTTGACAAAACCTCAGATGTGTGGCCTTCCTAATGTTGGAGCAGTCACTGCAGTTCTCTATAAGGTTGCTATGGCTGAAGCCAGAAAGAAGGCAGGCGAATATTTACAGAAATTATGATTCAATAAAAGATTCTGAAACGTGAGAAAGGCTGGAGTTTTCAGAGAGGGAAGTGATTTGAAAATATAAAGAATTGATTTGCTCATGACTATTACTTATGCAGTGAAAAAGCAAAGAATTTCTTTGGGTTGAATTACACAGAAGTGTGTTACTGACCTGTGTTCCTGGACTGTGAAACATGAATATGTAGGCGAGTTAGTAGATTCTCTTGATAAATAAACAATTAATACATACTTTGGGGGAAAAAATGTAATGTAGCACAAGTAAGGGATATCACTTTCAAGATTAGGTTATAAAAGACTGATTTCACCCTGTGCACTCTCTCTAGAACACACAGTTGCCACACAGCGCACTGCCTAAGAGAGAGGCCCACATGGCAAGGAACTGATGGCGACCCCCAGCCAGCAGCTAGAAGGAAGTGAGGCCCTCAGTGCAACAATTCAGCGAGGAACTGATCCTGCAAAAATCACAAGTGAGCCTGGAAGTAAATTCTTCCCCAGTTAATCCTTGACATGACCACAGCCACACGACAGCATCCCTGAAAGACTCAAAAGCAGAGAACCCAGCCAAGTTATGCCTGGATTCCTGACCCACAGAAGTTAGGAGATCATGAATGGTTGTTGCTTTAAGCCAGTAAGATTTGGAGTAATTTGTTATATGGCAATAGATAACTACTACTTCATTAACATGGTAAAAATAGACCTATCTCAGTCTCAGAGCCAAACTTAAGCTTATGCTGAGGCATTCACATTGAACACGTTCAGCTGCAGAGGCCACCAAGTGAACCAGGGCTGCTCTCCTCAGGAGAGGGCAGCATCACTGGCACCAGGAATCACTGGCAATGCCCCAGGGAAGAGGCAGAAAGCCAGAATGCTTAAATCTCATACTAAAGAGTACTGTAATTTGTCCACACAGTTACTGGCCATGCTTTCTTCAGTGTGGTTTTCCTCTTCAGTAACTCTCCTGAAAGGAGGGCCTCCAACCTAGTTCTCTTCCACTTTTTTGTGTGTGCTCATGGCACTGCATAGAGAGGTAAGAGGCAGGAAAGACCTCAGTGTACTTCCACTAACACACCTTAGGGAAGGTCAGAAACCACACTCAGAGGAGTCTGCTGACACATGAGTCACTATAAAGAAGGTCTGCACTGATGGGCTGGTGTCTCCTCCCAGCAGCTCTGTTCAGGATAAAAGTTGACCCGGCCAGGGCACGTAAAGGGAGAATGAGGAAGGCAAATCCACCAGTGGATCTATCACTGGACAGAAGAGCAAAACACGCAGACTGAAGCCCTAGAGTAGATTAGGAGAACACAACCTCCCAAGGCCTCCGGATTTTCTCTGGTCCAAAGACAAAGCTGAGGGGCCCACAATGAGAGATGAGAAGGAAGAAGCATGGGCACCCACCCGAGGAACATAAGCTGGCAGAACATAAAGCAAAGGGCAACAGTGCCAAGAGGCACCGGGGAGATGCAGGGAAGGCAACAGCCATGGACATAGGACAGTGAATTACCTGTTGAACAGTCCATATGCATCAGGCTGAGCTCACTGGTGGCTTTCATTTTCTTAGCGGTGTGCTCTGAGGTAGTGGGTAAGACCAGAGGGCTTGTGGTAGAAAAACAGGAAGCATTTAGATCAAGGCTACTGTCTGGGGCATGCTCGGCCTGCTCCATCTTCCTTTTTCGAGAGGGCAGAGCAATGGAAGAAGGGGTCACTGCCAAAGCAGTCTGTGCTCTTCCAAGCAGGTGGCAGCCAGGGATGGAGTGCTGAAGCAGGAAGTGGTCGATCCGGGCCTTCAGTGAGGGGTGAGGCAAGGGCTGGGAGTGTGGAGTAAAGGCCACCCCCGTGAAAGGGTCGCTGGGCACTCGGCCCCATGCAGCTTCACTACGGTTACACTTCTCCAAGGTGCTCTGGTCGATGACCTTGCCTGAGGGCAACAGCATGGGACAAGGCATGATCTCCAGGGTGATGGGATCCAGGAACTCCTCAGGCACATCCCGAATTACCTCAGCCAGCTCCTGCAGGCCAGAGGGAGCCTGCTGGCCCTCAGACTGGTCCCCAGGGTCACAGTCACTTTCCATAGGTAAGGCCAGGGCCTGCAGAGCCAAGTCCTGAGGCAGGCTCTCTGAGGCAACCAGCAGGACACTGTCTATCACCTCCTGAGAGCAGGTCTTAGCTGGCTGACCCCACACTTCCAACCGCTTGATGCACGGGATACCACTGCCTGTCACATGGGTGATACAGATCCTGACATGGGCCACGTGGCTAAGGGACAGAGCTCCTTTATTCCAGAGCTCCTGGGTCACAACAGCAGGGGAGGGAAGTGTGGCTTCTGTTGGGCCAAAAGGTGGTCTGGCCTTGAAGCCCCTGTGGCTAAACACCACTTGGCTCTGGTTTTTCAGTAAGACCTTCCCTACCAAGGTGAATGCCTCCTTGTCCAGGACAGATGGCTCAGCTAGGCCTGGGGTCTGGCACTCGGGTGTACTCCAAGACACTCTGCTGGATGATGTGTACATTTCCAGGCCAGTGACGTTCTGGCCTCCCCCAGCTGTGAGGTCTATGTTAATCCTACAGATTTCCACATTAAAGGGAAAGGCAACTGTCACACAGACTGGTGGCTTAATAAAATACTCTGTCCTAAAGCCGCGATTCCTTTTTGTGAGGTCTTCAGAGACGAGATTTTCTACTTCATAACCATCAGCTGATATCTAGATTTAATAACAAATATGAGACACAGTGATCCAAATAAAGACAATTAGTTTTCAAGAACTCATCACTTCTAAAAAACTCTTTAAAGAAAGTCTGAGGTTCCTCATTTTAAAATTTCCTCTATTAAACTAAATTGTCTCAGGTTATTTTGCAGGCATGTAAGATCAGATCAAATGCTGAAGGCAGCTGTGTCCCAGAGTACTGCCCAATTTTTCTTTTTCTTTTTTTTTTTTTTTTGAGTAAGGGTCTCACGCTATTGCCCAGGCTGGAGTGCAATGGAGGTCTGCAGCCTTGACCTCCTGGGCTCAGGTGATCCTTCCACATTAGTCTCATGAGGAGCTGGGACTACAGGAGTGCACAACCATGCCTGGTTAATTTCTTTGTAGAGACAAGGTCTTGATATGTTGCCTAGACTGGTCCCAACTTTAAAAATATAAGCAACTGAGTAGTAGTGTGCCTGTGGTCCCAGCTACTTGCGAGGCTGAGGCAGGAGGAACGCTTGAGACCAGACTAGGCAATATAACAGGATCCTGTCTCAAAAGAACACAAAACACAAAGAGTAACAAAACCCTGCCCAACCAAACAAAAAAAAAATCCCTTCAAAATAACACTGCCATGAAAAGGGGGCAGATATACTAGTTGTTTATTTTAGAGGATGGAAAAATGCAGATTTAGGGAAAAACAAAACATTTAATTTTATATTTGGACCCTAACAGTTTTCATAGGAAGACATAACAAGCAAGCTGCCTGTAAATGTATAAATGATGAAACTTGGCAGAAAAAAAAAATGTGTGCACAAAAACATGGACCACAAAAAAATGACAGAAAATTTAAAACAGCGAAGTACTAGGGGATAGTTGATCTTATTCTGCCTTTGATGTTTCTTTTTTTTTTTTTTTGAGTTGGAGTCTCACTCTGTCGCCCAGACTGGAGTGCAGTGGCCGCTCCCAGCCACCGCAGCTTCAACCTGCTGGGCTCCGGTGATCCTACCGCCTCAGCCTTCCAAGTAGCTGGAAGTACAGGTGCACACTACCACACCCAGCTAATTTTTTGTTTTATTGTAGAGATGAGGTCTCACCAAGTTGCCCAGGTGGGTCTTGGGCTCAGGCAATCCACTCACCTCAGCCTCCCAAGGCGCGGGACTACAGGCTGAGCCACTGAGCCCGGTTTGCCTTTGATATTTCTAATACTAACCAGTAGAAACTTATAACCAAAGAAAATTTTAAGATATCTTTGTCTAAAGGAGTCAGCCTAACAATCTGGGAACCTGAAATAGCATGCTGGGTACAGAAACTACACCTTAGGCAATCGGTTCAATTTTGGTGTTTCCTTAGTCCCTACTCTGTGAGGTGGATAGATATTCTCCTTCGCACAAAAGGGAGGAAGCTTAATGAATAACAAATAATTTAAATAACAAATGTAAGCCATTATTTCTAGCATTAGAAATAAAGAAGAGCCAGGCACCATGGCACACACCTATAATCCCAGCACTTTGGAAGGCCAAGGCAGGATTGCTTGAGCCTAGGAGTTTGAGACCAGACTGGATAACACAGCAAAACTTCATCCTTACAAAAAAATAAATAATTTCGTCAGCGTGGCAGAGTGCACCTGTAGTCCCAGCTACCCAGGAGGCTGAGGCAAGAGGATCACCTGAGCCACAGGAGGTCAGGGCTGCAGTGAGCCATCATCGTACCACTGCACCCTGTCCTAGGTAGCAGAGTGAGACCCAAACTCCAAAAAGAAAGAAAGAAAAGAAAAAAGAAAGGAAGAAAAAAGAAAAGAAATGAACAAGAAGTGGGGAGAAAGAGTACATCTACCTTTGCCGTGACTTTGTACTTGAAATTGATCACAAGGGAAAGAGCACAATGAAGAAGATGCTGCCCAAAATGAGTCACAGCTCACCTCATGGTGGTGCTGCATGACTCGAGAAGTGAGCCTGACCCATGCTTACCTGCAAACCTGGTGGAACCTAAAATAATGAGGGTAAAAGTACAGGAAGTCTGAAGCAAGTCTACATATGCAAGGCAGAAAATGACAAAATACATGTAAAGTCTGTACCATATATTTATACACATATGTGTATGTATTTGTTTTACTTACCTTGTTGCAGTGAATTCTTGGTCTGAACTGAGGGAGGCAAAGATTTATGACCATCTTTGTGGTTGAAAGGATAGCTTCCAAGCATCAGAAACAGCCTTAAATTAAAAAAATACAGCTTGGTGTTAGTAAGAAAAGTGAAAATTCAATTCTAAATTTTCAGAAGTTGACTTCTAAGAGAAGAGAATCATACAGGATACCAACAAAAACTTTAACACACATACCCTCTCACAGCCTATATTCACTTTCCTTGTATCCCACATATGATGCTAGGAAAAAATCAGTCACTGAAAATTACAAAGATATCTATCACAGGCTCAACAACATTGGCAAAGGCTGCCAGTTCTCTGGCCAACAACTATTCCAAAGACTCAGTGGAGGTGAGGCCTATGAGCTCTGCTGGGCTCCCCATAGGAAAGAGGGCAAAAGAAGCTGGGCTCAGAGAAGGGTTAGAAGGTTTAGAATGGAAAGGATCATAGAAAATAATCATAGTGGTACTAAGCATCTTTGTTGTTTAATGTTCGTCAATGCAATTTTGTTTTCTTACTCAGATGCAAACAATTGGAAGAGTCAAAAACATTATTACTGAGAAACAGAAGAGTTGAAAAGTATCTTAAAAGGACACCTAATCCAATTAGTCATTTTAGTGGCTAGTTCCAATATTACTCTGTAGAGAAGTAGGGAAGCTGCTAGCAATGCCCCTCCCAGTGACAGGTCTCTCCAGTGATATAACTTCTTGGGGGAAGCCAGCTGCCATTCTATGCTTTTCCTTTTTTTTTTTTTGAGTTGGAGCCTCACTCTGTCACCCACTCTGATGTGCTGGGTTCAGGCAAACCTTCTGCCTCAGCCTTCCAAGTAACTGAAACTACAGGTACATGGGACCACACCCAGCTAACTTCTTCCTGACTTATTGTAGAAACGAGGTCTTGCCAAGTTGCCTAGGTTGTTTTCGAATCCCTGGGCTCAGGCTATCCTCTTGCCTCTGCCTCCCTAAGTGCTGGGATTATACTGCACCCAGCTAGATCTATGCTTTTCCCACTGGATTCATGGCCATGGAAAACTCTGTTAGCCCCATAGGAACAGGGTTACCCTCTGGAATGTTGCTTTTTTGTTGTCATGATCAGTAAAACTTGCAAAGGTCAGGCAAGTTGGGCATTCTGCAACATTTGAGTAGACACTTGCTGCACAGTAAAGATCTGTTATGGGACCTGTGCCTAGCTCCTAACTCAGTTTCACACATAAATATAAATGATTCTTTTTTTTTTTTTTTGAGTTGGAGTCTCACTCTGTAGCCCAGGCTGGAGTGCAGTGGCACGCTCACGGCCACCGCAGTCTCCATCTGCTAGGTTCAGGTGATCTTTCCTCAGCCTTCCAAGTAGCTGGAACCACAGGCACATGCCACCACATCCGGCTAATTTTTTGATTTATTGTAGAGATGAGATCTCGCGAAGTTGCCCAGGCTGGTCTCAGGCAATTCTCTGATCCCTGGGCTCAGGCAATCCTGACCTCAGCCTCCCAAAGTGCTGGGATTATAGGCGTGAGTCACTGCACCCAGTCTATAAATGATTCTTAAACATGGTCTTTCTATATGCTGAACTTTCTAGGAAGAAAACTTCCAAGTAATTCATAGGAAGATTGCACTGTTTTGTTCAGTCCTTTACCAAGAAGTGTTCACCATATCTAAAAATCACATCATCAAGAGCAACGCTATACCTATGTCCGTCTGCATTTATAGCAGTCCGAATTCTTGGTAATTCTACATGTTGGTAAAAGCTTCTTTGTGGGCCGAGCTAGTGGTTCACCTATAATACCAGGCCGAGGCAAATAGACTGCCTGAGCCTGCAGGTTTGAGTTGGAGTGTGCCACTGCACTCCAACCTCAGCCACAGAATGAGACTCCAACTCAAAAAGAAAAAAAAAAGCTTCTTTATTCTTTATGCTTCTAATATGGTCATATCCAAACATTTATACATGAGAAAAAATTTTATTATCACAGTTTTAAACTTCTCCTTTACATTACTATTAGGGCATTTTATATGTATGTATTTATATATGCATGTTTATGTGTACACCTGTATACACTTTTTTTAATAAATAATGTATACAAGTATGTTATATCATCTTCGGCTTTAAGTTCAGGATGGTAGAAGAAACAATAAAAAATGTTGTTAAAAGAGGGAGATAAATCTCATAGGGTGGAGAACCCCTTGGCCTAATGTCTCCTGTTCTTTATGAGCCTGTATTGTGAAACTCCTAGTGCTTCCTATTTTGAGGCATACAGGTAATCACTTTGACAGAGCATTCTAGAATCTGACCTTGAATAACCATGGATGACAGTTTACAGAATTCCTTTTTTGAAAGATTGTATTAACACTGTCTCCAAGCTTCTGATACCTTTCTTGTTCTCCACAATAAGTATAAAATAAAGGAAGTGCCAAGAGCGGTGGCTCATGCCTGTAATCTCAGTACTTTGGGAGGCTAAGGCAAGAAGATTGCCTGAGCTCAGAAGTTACAGAACAGCCTGGGCAACTTGGCAAGACCTTGTCTCTACAATAAATAAAAAAATTAGCTGGGCATGGTGGTGTACACCTATAGTACCAGCTACTTGGAAGGTTGAGGTGGAAGGATTGCCTGAGCCCAGCAGGTCAAGGCTGCAGTGGTGGTGATTGTGACATTGTACTCCAGCCTGGGTAACAGAGGCTCTGACTCAAAAAAAAAAAAAGAAGTGCCTGATGAATTAAACATGCAAATATTCTTAGGACCTTTGTGTGTCCCTCCTTCTTGGCCAGGAAACTGGAATACACTCAGAGCAGTATTTCCCTCAATTCCCCTGGCCAGTGGCTTCTTGTTGGTTTTTTTTTTTTTTTTTC